TTCCCCCCCCGGCCCCCCCCCCCCGTGCTCGGTGCCCCCCGTTTTCCCGGCCGGGAGCCCTTTGTAGGGCGTGGGGGGGGTTTTGGGGAGGGGGCGCGGGGTCCCGGCGGTGCCTAACGCGCTCCCCCCGCAGGAGAACGGCCATGTCATCTACAACGGGGACATGACGCCCAAGGTGGGGGTCGAGGTGGCCCCACAGAACGGGAACGGCTCGGCGGAACCCCCCAAGGAGGAGAGCGAGGGCGAAGCGGGCGGTGCGGACACCATCGAGCCCGCCCCGGCCGCCGCCGACGGCGGCGACCCCAAAACCGAAGGGGCCGCCGCCCCCAAGGACGCCCCCAAGAAGAAGAAGAAGTTCTCCTTCAAGAAATCCTTCAAGCTGAGCGGGATCTCCTTTCGCAAGAACAAGAAGGAAGCCGGGGACTCCTCCGGCTCCTCGCCCACGGAGGAACAGGGCAAGAGCGAGGAGACCCCGCCGGGGGGGCTGCAGCCCTCGGCTCCCCCCGAGGAGGAGCAGAGCGGCCCCGGGGAGGGCGGCGAGGGGCCCGAGCCCAAGGATGGAGGAGAAGCCGCGGGGAGCCAGGAGGAGGAGAATCAGCAGCAGCAGGGAGGGGAGAGCCAAGGAGACACAGCCAAACCCGAGGAGCCCTCGAAAACCGCGGGGCCGGAGCCCACAACGAGCCCGGCGGAGCAGAAGGAAGAGTAGAGGCCGCTCGGGCATCGTCCTCACCGGGGACTCTCACACCGCCCCCCGACCCTCCCCGCCCCAGCCCGGATCGCCACGGACTCGCCCGCACCGCCCCGGCCCCCCTAGGACTGACAGCACCTCCCGCACACCCCGCCCTGCAGGGATTGCGCTCCCCGTTCCCGGTAGAAATCAAAAAAAAAAAAAGCTGGTTTGGATTCCCACCGCCGCCGCCACTTGGAGTAGTTTGAGCTGAATTCCTTGGAGAAAATAAACAAACAAACAAAAGAAAGCTGGCGAGGAAGATTTGTCCCGGACACCACTGGAGTTTACAGTTTGTAAGAACCCGGATCCCAAATCCCACTCTGGATCTCTCCAGACTGTCCCCCTCTCCTCCCGCTCCCACTGACTGTTCAATGGAATTTTTATTTTATTTTGTGTTTTTTCGGTTGTTTTTTTTTTTTTTCCTTTATTTCTCAGTTTACATTCCTGGTTCTGACTTTTCATTTCAAGTATTTCGTGCTTTTTTATATAGAAATCGATGGTTTAAAAAAGCTAATCTGGTTAGTTTTTTATAATGTCTTCTATTGGCTTAAAACTATAAAGCTTGTAAGTCCGCTGTGTTTAATTCTGCTTTAAGGGATAACTTTTAGGGTGTGGGGTGGAGAGAGGGGGCCCTACCAGCTGTATAATGTGAAGCCAACATTGGTTTGTTTTTTTTTTTTCCTCTGTAAATAATTTTTTTAATGGCCAAGAAAACCGCTTGATTTGCAATTTTCTAACTTGTAAAAAAAAAAAAAAGAGAAAGAGAAAAAAAATCAAAAAAAAAAACAAAAACCAGAAGACAAACCCAAACTAAACCACCGAACAAAAGCTGTAACATTTGAAAGGAATAAATGGTGACCCCTTTATGGGAGAGCTGGAGTCCTTCTTGTCCTGGATGGCAGGGGAGGAAGACGGCAGTTGCTGATTTAGCCCAGCAGCTGCTCTGTTTAATCAGCGCTCGCCGTTAATTGACTCGCAGCAGATGCAGAACCCCGGCCACAAAGGACTTTCCCAGCCCAGCCCCATCCCCACCTCGCCATCGCTGCTCCAGACCCGTTCTCTTCCCAATCCCGCTTTTCCCCCTTGTGGAAGCTGGAAAAACCCTCGGGATTTTGTTTAGGATGAGGCGGAATTCCCGATTTATTTTAATTTAAATCGGTTTTTTTTTTTTTTAGAGAGAGGGATTAGCTCCTCTGGGCTGAAAGGAGCACAAAAGGCGAGGGCTGGCAGCAAAGATTTCCTGAACAAAGGGAAAAGGAGGCGACAATGGAGCCTCTATCCCTGCTCCTGTCACCTGCACCGGGATGGCTTTTCCCGGATGGATCGGGGTGGATTTTCCCCAGGAGATCCCTGGAAAATGCTCCTGCAGCTCCTCCATTTCATGGCCTTGCTCCCAGTTCCCACCTCGGCTCCCAGTTTGCCCAGTTCCACCTGCTCCTGCTGTTTTGGCTGGAGAAGAGCAAAAATAATAGAAAAGAAATAAAATGAATAATATAAATAATATAAAATAAAACCTAAAGCATTGTTTGCCCAACAGGCACCACCCTGGCAAGGGCAAGGAGCATCCAGGCTCTTCCCGAGCCTTCAGGTAGGTGGGAATACCCAAAAAATTCCATGTTTTATGCAAGAAAGCCAAAATCAGGGATTTGTCTCCCAAGTGGATTCATTTCTTCGAGCAGAGGGGTGAAATAAATGGCTTTTTTTTACCCAGTTTTGAAGGAAAAGTGGGATTTGGGTGCATCTGGCGGAGCCGCAGCCTGGCAGCCATTTTAGAAATCCTGGAAAAGGGAAGGGCTCGGGAAGGGGGAATTCAATGGTGATTCCATTCAAATTCCAGGGGTTTTGTTCCAAAAAGGGGAGGATTTAATGGTGGGAGGGAGGATGGAGCCTTCCCGGGGCTGTTCAGCACCCAAAGTCCACTGAGCCCACACAAAGCTGCTTTTTTTTTTTCACTCCAAAAAGAGCAGATTTGGGGTTTTGTGGCCATTTCAGGTGTGATCAGCACTCAGCTCCACAATGGAGCTGCTCCTAATTCAGTTAAGGAATTTTCATCCTCTCAGATTCTGGATAAAACCACTAAAATCAAACCCAAAGGTGAATTAAGTCCATCACTTGATTATTCCCAAACTGCTCCGCTCCAAGCAGGAAACCAAACGGGATCAGGGATGAGAACCCAGCTGGAGTTTGGGAATAAAATCAAACAGGTGAAGCTGTGAGGAAAACAAAAAATAATCCCCAAAACCCATCACGTTTGAGCTCCTTTGAGAATCTCAAGGCAAAAAAAAAATCCCCCAAAAAACAAAGAAAACAAACAAACAAAAAACCCAAATAATTGACAAAGGAAATAACCATTAACAAAAGAGATTCAGGTGGAGGAGAAATAAATAAATGTTTTGGTGGATGGAATTAAACCTGAAAGAAGAAAGGAATTAATGCCTCGTTTTTCTTCCCAAATCCTAATTCCACCTCTAATTTTTTTTTTATCCATTAGATCCAAGCACAGCTCTGAAAATGAATTAATTGAGCAAAAAAGACCAGGCTCACACCAGCAATAGAAATGGAGCAGTTTTATTACAAAGGTTCTGAAAATTCAAAATAAACGCATCTTTAAAAAACCACAATAGATTTTTCCCCTCCCCTCCTGTCCCTCCCACATTCCCCAGACACAAAGTTACACTGATCTCTCTCTTGTTTCACATAAAAACACTGAAAATCAGAGTGAAAACCTCACTCAAAGATACTAAAAAAACTCCACGGTGAGGGGGAAAAAAAAAAAAAGGGAGGGGGGGGGAAAAAAAATAAGGAATTAAAAAAATAAACCCTTTGAAAAACCTGTGTGAAGTTTTAGCAGCATTATTGGAGTTGAAAGCCTCAGCAGTGCTCCCATGGGAGGGTGCAGAGCCTCTGGAATTCCAGAGGGATTCCCCCTGAGAAAGGAGAGCAGCGAGTGGGAACTGCCTGGAGAAAAAAAAAAATAATAAAAAATTTAAAAAAATCCGAATTTCTCCCCTCCAAAAAAAAAATTTAAAAAAAAAAAGTTTTATTTTTCCTTCTCTCGGTTGTAGAAAAGGAGAGGTAAAAGGTCACAAAAGAGATCTGGGGGTGAGGAGGTGTGGGAGGAGGGAGAGGAGCTGTAAAAAAGCTCAGAGCCCCATCTGCTGTTCCCTCAGGATAAAAAGGTTGGAATTTACTGGCCTTGGGAAGGAAATCCAGTTGGAAAACTTGGCTTAAAAATAAGGAAAAACTTGGTTTTTTTTTTTTTTAGGGATACACATGAAGAAAAGCTGTCAGCTGGGTTCTTTGAGGGGATTTCTGGGGTTTCAGCAGAAAAGTGGAGCCAAAGGGGAGGAATTCTGTCCCCACACAGAGAGGGGCATCAAAAACCAGCAAAAAAAATCCCTTTCCTCCCTGCCACACTCCCTGGATCCAGGAGATCTTGGAAAAATGAATCACCCCCTAAAGGTGATTTTAATTTTACATTTTCCAGATCTGGGCTCTGGGGCTGATTCATTAAAAAAAAAAAAAAAAGCCAAAAAAAGTAATAAAAAAGGACTTTTCAGGTTTCTTTTCAGCTGCTTCGTCTCTTTCCCCAAGTTTGCTGCAGGGAGGAGCCAACTCTGTTCAAGAACTGCACAATTTAGACCCTGAGAAGTGGCACCAGCTCACAGGTTTTTGTTTTTTTGTGGTGGAATCCAACTGAAGACCCCAAAGGTCTCTCCCAGCTTTGTTTGGGAATTCTCCCATTGAAAACAACACCAAAAAAAAAAAAAAAAAATAAAATCAAGGAAAACCAAGAATTGATGGCCATCTTTCCACCTAACCTGAAATGCAGACACTACTTCTACTTAAATTATTCTTTTCCAAGGTTATTTCAGAGGAGAGAGCAAAGGCAAGGAAGTGATTTTTGTGTTTTTAGAGCCACACCAAGGAGGGGCAGTGGAAGGCAAAGGGTGAAACTTCCCCCAGACACCAAACCTGGGCTGCTCAGCTGAATCCTCCCCTGCCTGCTCCCAGTGGAGTGCAGCAAGGAATAATTTACAGTTCTCCAGTCATTTATACAATTATATAGAAATATATACAGAAAACATATATAAAATAGAAATCCTGTGGGGAGGAGGCAACCCAGGAGCTAAACCTACGACAACACCTGGGCAGCTGCAGACAACTCAAGTGGATTTTGTTTCTTCCTTCACCCTGGGGAAGCAAAAAAAAAAATAGGATTTTGGTTTAAATCAACGATTTGGGTTTGAATCTAACAACAAGGCTTAAAAATGTTGCTTATCTGGTTCATTTTCAGCTAAAATTTAATATATTGCTGAAGGAAAGAGCAGTGTTTTGATTTTTTAGCCCTCTCAACACCTGCAAGCTTCTTCCAATGAGGAACCTGTGACAAATCCACCCAAAGTGCCACCCAAATTGTCACCTCAACCCTCCCAAACCCTGCTGGGCACAGGCAGGAGCCAGGCTCACCCTTTGGGTTCTGCTGCTGCTTTTTCCTCTTTTACTTTTTCCTCTTCTTTCTCATCTGGAAAAAAAAATAAAATAAAATTAAAGACACACAGCAGTGCAGGAGGAAAGGAGAATTGCAGGTGGTGCCAGCTCTGCTGCTCTCACCTTTCTTCTCCTCTTCCTCCTTCTCCTCCTCTGCTTTCACACGTTTGGCTTTCTTGAAGTTGGCGACGTTTTTGCGCCCTCCCTCGCCCTCGTCCTCGGAGTCGGAGAATTCCTCATCGCAGGATATTCTCTTGTTGGAATTTCGGACTGAGGGGAGAGGACAGAGCTTGGCTGAGCAGATTTTCAAAATCAGGAGGCTCCCAGGATTAATTCTCTGAGCGGAGCTGACATAAATCAGGATTAGGCCGTGATAAAAACGCTTTATTTTGGTACCTGCTGCATCTTTGAACTCATCCCAAGTGCTCCAAGATCACAGGGACAATTTGGATTAGGCACAGTGGGATGTCTAGACCTGACAGCAGGTTTAGAACCAGCCTCCCACTGCCAAATCTGTCTGCCAGATCCCAAGGGCCAAGCTGGATAGAAAATTCCATTTTCCACTGCTGGGATCACACCCAGGATTCTGCCAAGGATTCTGTCCCGGCACTCAGCAACTCCTGGAATTCTCCCTTGAAAACCAAAGTTCTTCCCGTTATGGAAATCAGCTGGCAGGAGAGATCCTGCAGTGCTTTGTCCTATAAAATCCCAGCAGGGAGGTGGGAATGGACTCAAATCAGAGAGGTCAAACCCTGGGGCAGAGCCTGAGGTGAAGCTCCAGCCCCTCCCCGGGGATTCTGGGGGCTCCACAAAGTTCCAAGCCCAAGGGTTTGACTTTGGATGTCCCCACAAACCAAGGGGAATAAATCCTGGAGTCAGAATTGGATCTAAACCCTGCATCCTCATGAAGAGCTCATGGATCCCGCTCGGCTTTGGGCTTCTCCCAGCAGAATTCCCAGCAGAATTCAATTCCCAGCACCTACTGGAAATGCGTTTCTCAGGATCGTCCTCCTCCTCATCCCCGCTGTCCTCCTGGATAGCATCCTCAGGAATTGGCTGCATCTGGACCCCGGGAGCGTGAGGGAGCATCCTCAGGTTCTCGAAGAGCCGCTGCCTAGAGCCAGCCAGGGAAGGACACTTTGTCACCAGGGGCCACCCAAGGCCACCAGCCCCCGTGGAAGGGTCATTCCAACACCCACTTGATTTTCTCCAGGTATTCGTTGGTGTTCTGGTTGGTCATGTTGGAGGGGCTGATGTGGAGCTTGAAGTCTGGCCCAAAGTACTCAAAGTAGTCGTTGTATGGAAGTTCTGGGGGGAAATTAATGGTAATTAACACCAAATTAGAGGCAGGAGCAGCACTCGGGGCATCCACAAGGGATCATCCAGAGGTAAGAGAAGCCCAGCAGCACCATTTCCCTGAGCTCTTAGTGGGATATCACTGCTCCTCAGGGCTCCAGGGGGGAATTACCATTGGGGATCTCAGTGTCCAAAGCCACAGCAGTCTCGTAGGTCCAGCAGCGGGCCACGTTGCGGATCGTGTACCCCCCTCCTCCCAGCATCAGCATGGGCAGGTTAAAGCTCTTCACAAACTCCACGCACTTGGCATGGCCTGCAGGACAAAAAAAAAAGGTCCCACTCATTCCATAAATCCCAACTTTTCCATGGAAGCTCCTGCTGTGCCTGTGGCAGTTCAGCTCCCACCTTTGATGGTCAGGTTGAAGCAGCCCAACCTGTCCCCAGACAGGGAATCGGAGCCGCACTGCAGGACAACGGCGCTGGGCTGGAACGTCTCCATCACTTTGGAGATCACCTAAACAACAAAAGCCTTGTCACCCCCTGCCCACAGGCCACTGTCACCGCAGCACAGTGACAGCCAGGCACGTGAAGCCATCCCCACAGCTGCCCTGCTAACACTGGGGCTCTCACACCGAGGAGCTCCCGCACAGGCCCACATTGTTCGGGGGGAACAGAGCCCTTGGTGAGCCTTGTCACAGGAAAAACTCAATCCAATCCCCCAAAGAACGGCCCCAAGGACAAAGAGGGAGCCACAGAGGATCCCTGAGCAGAGGAGGCTTCACTCACAGGCTTGAAAATGGCTTCGTAGGACTCGTCGTCGATGCCGTCCCGCAGCGGGTAATTGACAGCGTAGTACTTCCCTTTGCCTGCCCCAATGTCCTGTGGGGTGAGAAAGGAGAACAGAGCTCACCAGAAATCCAAATTCTGCTCCAAACTGGGAAAGGAAGCTTGGATTCCAGTCTAATCCAGATATTAAGCTAGAGGAGATATTTAACAATATTAATAAATATTAATGATTTACTGTGGAGATGCACAGCAGTGGCCCAGGCGGGCCAGACCACTCACTGAATCTATTCAGTCAGCAAATTCTACTTTAAAATAAAAATAAAATATTCTCCTCTAAACTAATATGTATTTTAACATTTATTTTATCACTCACAGTGATAAAAGAAACATTTTTTTTAATCATTTATTAAAAAGAACATTTATTTTATCGCTCGAAGCAGTTTATTAAAAATAGTTATTGCATTTATACCACACCAGCACCAAGCTCTTGGCAGGGCTGAAAAAAAATACAAATCCCAAGTGAAAGATGAGAGGATTTAGATATTAAAAAAAACCAGTTTCTATAAAAATCCCATAAAAATAAGTAGAGAACCTTTCACCCCTGAGAACAGAAGTTCTGGCAATGTCACAAGGTGACACTTTGAGTGACACAGAACTGAGGCACTGCAGGAAAAGCCAATAAAAATCCACTCCCTCACAAACCTTCACCCAAGAGCTTGTGTCACCGAATTTTGTCACCAAAATGTCACCTTCAGAGTCATTTTTTGTGAGCACAACCCCACCAAGAGAGAGACTGAGAGCAAAGATTTGGGTTTAATAAACGATCAGGGAGCCTCCCCATCCAAACCTCTGCCCACTGAGCAGGGACAGCCAGGAAAGATGGGAAAAACCCAAATTTCTTGGGAATTTTTTTGGCTCTCACCCTCAGGTCCCCAGTTCCTGGGAAATATTCTCCATATTTGTGGAAGGACACGGTCATGACTCGGTCTGTGGTGTAAAAAGCCTCCTCCACCCCATCCCCGTGGTGGATGTCGATGTCAATGTACAGCACCCGCTGGTGGTACCTGGAAAAAATCAGAATATTGCATTTATGCCAAGGAAAAACTGCCTCCAGAGCAGAGGAAACTGGGAGGAGAGCATGGAATTCAGGCCAGGATTTACAGGGGAAGGAGCTGCGGGAAAGGGACAGCAGTGGAACAGAAAAAAAGTGACTTCTGCTGCTGAGTTTGTTTCAGATTCAGCTCAGTTTGGTCAGATTTAGCCAATAAAGTGCATTTTTATGCCCAAGCCTCCCCCAGTGAGGTCTGCCTGGAGCCAGAAGCTGTCACACAGCCATGGGTGGGTGGCACAGGGGAGGGACAAAGAACAGCAGCAAAAAATGTAACACCCAAAAAGCTCCAAAAATCCTCTGCCTCCTGCTGGACAAATCCCTTTGGGGAGAGAGGGGGACAGAGCCCAAAAAATCAGCTCTGCTGGGGAAAAAATAGGGAATAAAATAAAAATCCTGAGGAGAAAGCAGTGAGGAAGAGGAGCCAGTGGTGCTGCCCATACTTGAGAAGCTCCAGGATGGCCAGGACGATGTCGTTGACGTAGCAGAAACCAGAAGCTTCTGATTTTTTGGCGTGGTGGAGACCTCCTGCCCAGTTCACTGCGATGTCCGTCTGCTGCTTGTTCAGCTTCACAGCACTGGCTGGGGGAGAAAATCACACAGAGTTTAAAACAGGAGTGAAAACCCTGGGCCAGAGGCTGAGGTGAAGCTCCAGTTCCTCCCTGGGGTTTTTTGGGGGCTCCACAAAGCTCCAGCTCAAGGGTTTGACTCTGAATTTCCCCACAAACCAAGGGAAAATGGGAAATACTTCACATCCCTTCCAATTTTTGCCTCAGAGCAGAAAAATCTCCACAGAGTAGAGCCCAGCACCCAGCTGGTGTCACACTGGAGACGAGCTGGATTTCTCAGAGCCCTGAACAAATCAAGCTTTTAGCTGAGATATATTCAGGTCATTGAGTGAAAATGCATCCAGGCAAAGGAAGTTCTCCTCCCCCAGCCCCTTCCATCAACTTTCTGCACATTCTGGAATCTCCCAGGATCCAAATAAATTATAAATTCTGTGGAATTCTCCAGCTCTGGGAGCAGAGAGAGCACAGAGCTGCTTCAAAAACTGCTGCAGTCAGTGCTGGGGTGCTGCTGGCACAGGAAATACAGACTGGAGGTGTCATTGTGGCAGCAGCAGCCACAAAGCTCTCAGGCTTTGTGCACATAAACAACTCCCCAGCAGTTCTGCTGTGAATTTTGAGAAAATAAAAAACATTTTGATGTTCCAGCTCTCAAACCTTTCAGTTTCTGCTTTGCTTCACATCCAGAGTTGTGTTCTTTTAAAAACAGCAGCTAAGCCAGCCTGGTCTTTCCTTTCCAAGTTGTGCCAGCCCAGAGTGAGACTTGTACAACTTTTATTTTAATGTAAAGCTCAGGTTGATTTTTTTTTTTTTTATTCAACCATGCTGTTGTGGTTTTGTTTTAACTCTGTCACTGGTGATGTTACAGAGCCATTCAGTGAGATAACCCAAATCAGTGATTAACAAATGGAAAGGGATTCAACAGGCAAAGCTTGGAGAAAATCTGGATTTAATTATTAAATCAGCAATGGGTTCACAGAGACAGAATGACATAAAACACAATAAAAAATACACAGGATTTGTGATCTTACCAACAGAGCCTCCAGCAGAGAGCTGACAGAACTCAAAGAGCCCATCAAACACAGGGCAATCCTCCCCAACATTAACTGGAAGAGAATGGAAAAGAGTCATTAAAATAAAAGCAGAAATAAAATCCAAATCTTACACCACCATTTGGGTTTGAAAAGTGGCCAAAAGGGTTAAACAAAATGCTGTGATCAAATGATAAAATAGAAATGTGTGGCTGACACTTTGCACACTCCTTTCACTTCAAATCACACAGTTTTCAGCACAACTGGAGTTTTAGCCTCAATAAATTTTTACTGTAATTAATTCCACTATTAAAAATAGTCACTCATTACAAGAAATTAAACTTCAGGCCCTTTGGTTTATTCTGCCCAAGTCTGGCATGCAAAAATGGAAACTGTTCATTCCCTTTCCAGCAGGTTTTGTTGAAGAAAAGCTCTGTCCTTTGCATATATAATTTTCATATTTTGGCTTTTTCAGGAATAAAACACAATGCAGAAAACACTGAGCAGCAGAGAGAGCAAAGTGTTCATGAGCTGTGGCTGCTCCAGGGGTAAACAGGTCAGTTTGGGTATAAAATGCACTTTGCTGGATGTCATTTGGTGGATTAAAGAATATCATGGACTAGGGGGAGGCTTTCAGTGTGTCTGAAATCATGAACCTCATGCAGAAATATCTGTCCCCTTCAGCTCATGGTGGTTTCCAAGAGTAAAATGTTGTTTGAATGAAGCTTGAGCACTTCCCACTGGTTGTCTGGACTTGTTAGAAATCTACTTTGCCAAAAAAACATCAGCTCAGAGTGGCTGAGACAGCAAATCCAGGTTTTTGTACCATTAAAGAACCTTTCCATGGACTGGAGAGGTCGGAACAAGACATCAGCTCACAATTAACCTACAAAATCATTGGGTATTGATGAGTATCTCAAACTTGCCCTGAAAATCCTTCAGATTTGGGGAAGAATCGAGGAGTTGGGGTTTCTAAATTTGCTGGTTTTAAATGCCCCAGCTCTTCTGGTTGAAGATGAGCATTAACACAAAATCCACACAGGTCAGAAATGGAGTAGCTCTGTCATCTCCAAGCCAGGAAGCGAATTTAGGCAACAAGAAAAACCCAAAATACAACCAGCTCAAAGGATTTCCCCCAGCTCCTTTAGCTTGAGAGAGGGACCTGTTTTTAAAATGCTTTATTCACCAGAAAAATCAAAAGCAAAGTCAAGAGAATGACAACTGATAGAAGTTTATCCCAAACTTCTGGAGCTGGGCTAGGATTCCCAGATCCCAGATTTTCAGCTGCAGCATCACTCACATCTTTGCATCTGCTTGCTGTACTCAGACATGTTGTCAGGGCGGATGGACCTCAGGAATTTGATGTAATCGTCGCTGTGGTACTTGGTCATCTCCTCTGCATTGGCTTTGTGAGGACGCTGCAAGGACAGCAACACAGCAAGGATTGCTCTGGAATTCCTCCCCTCCCTAATTCCCAAATCCCAGATTTACCCCCAGGAACTGAGAAGAGTATCAAATCAGCAGCGTTAAATAAGAAAAACTGAATTTGAAAGGCAAGAGTGGCACTGTTGGCAAGTTACATATGCAGACGTGGAAATAAATTTAATTTCAAGGATAAAAAACAGTTTTCCAGTCTCCAAAGCCTCTCTGAAGCATAGAACCCCTCACTTCAACACTGAGAAAAAACCAGGAATGCATCAACACAACTGACTGGGGTTTATTCCTCTCCTCTCAGGGAAAAGCTCCACAATTAAAGAGTGAAACATCAATTATGACATTTAATAATGCCACACTTACATAGATCTCCATCTTCCTGTAGAGCCCATAGTTGAGCAGGAGGTTGTGGGTCATGCGGATCCTGTGGGGTTTCATGGGATGTCCTTGGCCATAATAATAATTCCCAACATCCCCTGGAAGCAGAAAGGAGGTGATCATCAATTCCTGGAGAGGGACCCATCAGCTCCTCTGGGATTTATTTCTCCTCCAGCAGTGGGTGGGATCTCCCACCTCCTGGCACAGGGAAATCCATGGATTCAGGGTTCATCCTCAAATAAAGACAGAAGTTTGGAAGCTCAGGGAAGGGGAGACAGGGAATTTGGAATGCCACCATCACACTGGCATCAGTGGAATGTGTCCCTGCCCTTGGAAAGGAGCTGGAATTGGATCATTAGTGCTGGATCATCTTCCAACCCAAACCATTCCATGGTTCTGTCAATACAGAGGAAGAATCTCCAAGGTTTTTGGGCCAGAGGAGCTCTGGGCTCAGTGCCAGGAATCTCTCCCAGGTTTCAGGGAGTGCTGGGAGCAGGATTCCCAGGGGCCACGGGAGTTAATCCCGGCTCAGACAGTGACTCAGCCCAGGAACACCCGGCCTCTGCCTCACTTTCCTCCTGTTTACCCAAGGGAAATGGGATCCAGGGAACTCTGAACTCAGCAAACACCACCCAGCTCTGCTTTTACAGCTCCATGGTTGTTTTCACCCTTTTTTATTCCTTGAAATCCTCCAGAGGATTCCCAGGCCTTTCCAGCCACCCCCCAGGAATTATTTTATGGGACCAGGGGAACAAAGTCACCTCCCCACAAGGATTTTCTCCTCCAAACTGAGCTCACACTTCACTTCTAACTGGGTTCCTTTCCCAGGGGGACTCATTTCCCTGAAATTTACAGGAATTTCACTTTCAGATTTCTGCCTGCTGCCTGATTTGGCTGCAGGGAGCAGGAATCTCTCCCAAGCATCATTTTCCTGGGAAACCAGACCAAGTTGTTCCTGGGGTTGAACAACTCCTGATCCTTTTGGGAAGCAGGAGATCCAATCCGGTCTGGCTGGGTGACTCAGAAGGGAGAATTAATATTTCATCACCACTCCCCACCTTCTGCAGAAGCAGTTTTTCTTCCTGTGGACACGGATCTATTTTCAGGTAGGAAAAAGAGATGCCAGAGGTGCAAATCCCACATCCAGGCAAGTCTGCTGCTGGAATTTACTGTCTGTGGAGCTCTGGGGGAATGTTCTTTCAGTAAATAGAATTATTTTCAGTCCAATACGGGTTCTTTTCACTGAAAATAATTCTATTTTCTGAAATTTTGGAAATCCCTGCCGGTGTTTTCCTGGGGTAAGCATCCTGGCAGTTTTGGGGATGTATTTTACTACCTCTAAGTCAAGGTTTGGGGATCTTGGAAGAGATATTTGAGGCTCTGCCTAAAAAATACAAGCACAGAATTCTGTGAAGCTTTTTAGAAGTCACCATCAGCTGTCCAGGGAATGCTCTGGGCCAACCCTGAGCTCCTGTTCCCTGTGCTGAGCACATCCCAAGCCCTGTGGATCCAGGGATGAGCTCAGCTGCTCCTGGACGTCACAGCAGATTAAGGAGTGTGAACTTAGCAGGCTCTGCTGGGGTTAAACAAATCCCTCCACAGGGAGCTCTGAATGGAGAAATTCCATCCAAACCTTTCCACAGGCCCTCGGGATTCCATAAAGGACCCTTTGGATACCATCCCCAATTCCTTCATCCCATCAAATTCAGGGAATTCCCACATTCCAGGGCTGATTCAACTTCCCAGCGTGGAAAATAAAAGGTTCAAATCAACAAATTATTTATTTCCTCCCAGTAAATGCAGCTTTTTACCCCTCAGCTGTGGATGTTTGAGAGCTGCTCAGAAAATAACAGTGGAAAAGAAAAAAAAAAAAATCTTTTAAAAAAGGCACTAAAACCCCACCACAGAGCACGGAACCCAAATTTGTGAAATTCCTGTGCAGCAAAGACCTGCAGGGCAGCAGCATTTCAAACAAAACAACTGCTTATTTCATATTTCAGATATAATTAAGTGCCTTTAAAAATTATAACCCAACAGGACTGAAAACCTCACATTTGAGGTAAAAAACTTCACATTCTTAGTGGGGGAAAAAAAAGCCCTCAGCACAGGATTTGGAAGAGCCTCCTACACTGCTCCAGCACTGGGCACATCCTTTGAGAGGGAAAAAGTAGCAAGAACAAGTTTTTATTTGATTTCAGGCTAAAACCCGTGATGGAACAGAGAATTTCAAAACACCTCTCATACGAGGTGAGCACAGAGCCTGTGAAAAACCAGCCAGGGCACCGAGCCAGCCCTCTAAAGGGAAAGGGAGAGGGGCAGGACTGGGATTTTCTGGAAGCCCCAGAGAAGGATTTGGCCACCCTGTTCCTTCCCTGCTCCACAGGGATGGTGACGCAGCCCCAGAGGCAGAACCACAAGGAGTCACTCCACAATCCACGATCCAGAGCCAGAAGTGAAGGATGCTCCTGGACAGGAGCTCCGTGCAAACAGCCACGCAGCCACCCTGGCTCCCAGAGCCTTTTTGTTCCCTCCTGACACCAAAGGACTGTCCCAGCAGTGCCTCTTCCTCCTCAGAGCCCGTGCAGCACCTCCTCCAGAGCTCCCCAAAATCCTTCTCCAGCATCACAGCATCCAAAGCCTCTCCTGGCCCTGTGCCCCTGTCACCATCCCGGACCCTTCCCAGCCTTTCCCTAAACCCCAGATCTCCCCATTTCCCCATCCCATTCCACCCCTCTGATTTCCCCCTACCCTTCCCATTCTCCCCTCCAGTGTCCCCCATACCCCTCCATGCCCACCCACATGCTTCCTATGCCCCTCAACCCCATAAAAACCCCACACAAACCATGAGCCCCATGCCCTGCTTGCCCCTGTCCACCAGTGCCCCCAGTATCCATCCCTGCAGCCCCCAGTGACCCCCCACAACCTTTAAAATCCTCCCCACCTCCATATCCTTCAATGATCCCCCACTGCCAACCTCTCACCCCATCCCCAGCACCCCCATCCTCCCTCAGTGACCCCCATGACCCCCACAGACAACCCCACCCCTCTCCCCAGTGACCCCCCGGTGCCCCCTCACCCCCACCCCCAGTAATCTCCATTCCATCCCATTCTCCCCTCAGCCCTCGCCCCCTCCCCTCAACCCCGCCTCCTCCCCACCCCCCCCGTCCCCGATGCCCCCCACCCCGGGACGGCTCCTCCGCGCCCCGGCGGTCCCGGCGGGTGCACGCAGCCCCTCACCATCGTAGTAGTAGCAGACTTTGCGCTTCGTGCCCTGCGTCAGCGCCATTTTCCTGCCTCCCCTCACAGCGCCCGACCCGCCGCCGCCCGGCGCAACCAACCCTGCCCGCCCCGGGCCCGCGGCCCCGCCTCCCGCGCAGTTCCGTCCAATCACAGATCTCTGTTCCGCCCCCTCCCGCCCTTTGACCAATCGCAAGCCGCAGCGGCACCTAGCAGGTTAGGCTGAGCAATAGGGGGCGCCTGGACTGTACTACTGCGGGGGGGGGCGGGGGGGGGGAGGTTGTACCATCGTTGGGAGGGGGCAAAAGAGGAGAGGGTCCAGGTGGGCAGGGAGGAACCATTCCTTGGGGGGGGGCAGGTAGGGCTGAACCATCCCGGGGGAGGGGGAGGCTGACCCAGGGCTGGGCTGACCCATGTGGGTGGGCGAGAGAGGGCCCGGGGGGGGTCTCAGAGGGCTGGGGTGGGGTGAGGGGGTCCCGGGAGCGCCCCGGGGTGGCTCGGTGCGAGTGGGGTCCATCTCCCGTGGGTAGCGCCCAGTGGGGTCCATCTGCCGCGGACATCACCCCGCGTACCCCATCCCATGGCAGCCTGGCCCTGCGAGGTCCCCGCCGCTGAAAAGGCCTTTATTTCCCCAAAATTGGTGTGGGACAGGTCCTGCAAACGCCGAGGGGGAGAAGGAGCGTCCCACAGCCGAGGGGTGCAGTGGCCAGTGCTGCTGGGGGGCTCCTGCCATCACCGGGGGTGAAGGGGGCACGGCCAGAGCCGGGTGAGGCGACCCCTGGGCAGCTCCTGAGGGGCTGGAGCCTGGATGTGCCCCCTGGAAAACGCAGGGACAGCAGGGTGGGCACCCTCTGGCCACCAGCAGAGCCCCCTGTGCCATCCCCCAGCTTCTGGGGGTCTGCTTTGGCCGTCCATCCCCTCCTGAAGGGGTGAAATCTGCTGCTCCCAAGCTCTGGAGCGCTTCAAATCTTCCCAGGCAGAGTTCACCCCGGGGTGATGTCCATGGGGTCTGTGGGGACGTGGGGCACCTCCAGCACCCCAAAGCGGGGCTGTCCCAGCTGCCAGGCCCTCAGGGCTGCTGCTGGTACTGGCCCTCGGTGGCGGTGAAGAAATCCTCCAGCACGCTCTTCATGAACTCGAAGGTGGGACGCTCCTCGGGGCTCTCCTTCCAGCACTGCCTCATCAGCTCGTACAGCTCCGCGGGGCAGTTGTCCGGCTGCGGCATCCGGTACCCGCGCTCCAGGTTCTGGATCACCTCGGGGTTGGTCATCCCTGGAGGGCAACACGTTGGGGGCTCGGTTTGGGTCACCCCACAGGTGTGGGTGTCACCCTGGGGCTGGTCACCCCTTCCAGGACAACACCCAGGACTCAGTTTGGGTCATGGGAACCACCCCAGGGTTGGTCACCCCTTCCAGGACAGTGCCCAGGACTCAGTTTGGGTCATGGGAACCACCCCAGGGTTGGTCACCCCTGCCAGGACAGTGCCCAGGACTCAGTTTGCGTCATCCCCAGGTTTTAGGGACCAGTCACCCCTGCCAGGACCCAATTTGGGTCACTCCCATGCCACTGGTGCCACCTTGGAGTTGGTCATTCCTGCCAGGACAATGCAGAGGACTCAATTTGGGTCACCCCCAGGTTTTAGGGACCAGCCTAGAGTTGGTGATTTCTGCCAGGACAATGCCCAGGACTCAGCTGGGGTCACCCCAATGTCACAGAGACCACCCTGGGGTTGGTCACTCTTACCAGGACAACCCCCGTGGCACCCAATCTGTGCCACCCCCACCTGGCAGGGACCACCCTAGGCTTGATCTCTGCTAGGACAATGCCCAAGACCCAGTTTGGGTCACAGGGACCACCCCAGGGTTTGGCCACCCTTGCCAAGGACAACCCCCAGGACCCAGTTTGGGTCACAGGGACCACCCCAGGGTTTGGCCACCCTTGCCAAGGACAACCCCCAGGACCCAGTTTGGGTCACAGGTACCACCCCACCTTCCCAAACCCACGGGGGTGGGTCTCCCATCCCCTCCCACCTCCTTCAACCCCTCCCCAGGTGGTTTGGGGACCGTGCCCGGTGCAGCCACGCGGGGCAGGGATGGAGGGCAGGGAGCCAGGCTGGCAGCAGCGTGCGTGCAGCACTGCATGCACACACACTCGTGGGCGTGCCAGCCCCGCAGCTGCCCGAAAATCCTGACCTGGATACGGGATCCGGCCGTAGGTGACGATCTCGGTGAGCAGGATCCCGAAGGACCACACGTCCGACTTGATGGTGAACGTCCCGTAGTTGATGGCCTCGGGTGCTGTCCACTTAATCGGGAATTTAGCCCCTGGAAAGCAGCGGGAGGGGAGGGGATAAAGCGCCCTGGCTGAGCTGGAATCAGCCCGCTGGGTTTAATCCGATGTGAAAAACCCCAGGCAGGCTCTGTCGCTGCTTGGGGACGAGCTGGGTTTGGTGGCTGAGCCCCCTGACCCCAAAGCTGGAGCCCCACATCCCCCTGCAGCTGCGGGGAGAGAGATGGAAAAGGGGAAAAACATCCTTGCACGCCCTGCTCCCCTCTCCTGCAGCTCCCCAGAGACCCAGGCTGCCTGGGGTCCCTTTCCCGGTGTCCCCAAGCTCTGTCACCCCCGGGCTGGGCTGGACTCACCCTCCCGAGCCGTGTACTCGTTATCCTCGATGAGCCGGGCCAGCCCAAAATCGGCGATTTTACAGCACAAAGTGTCCGAGACGAGGATGTTGGCGGCCCTCAGGTCCCTGTGGATGTAATTCTTGGCCTCGATGAAGGCCATGCCTTCAGCAATCTGTTATTATTAACGAATTAATTAATCGTTAATTAACAGCTCCAGCCCTCCCAGTTCCATCCCCATTTTCCTGCTCCCCCCTCACCTGCGCTGCCATGTCCAGCAGTTTGTTGGTGCTGAGCTTGACTCCTTCCGAGGTCTTGAGGAAATCCACGAGGCTGCCTGTGATGAAAGCAGCAATTCTCAGCTCCTGGGGGCCCTGGGGGTCACAAGGGCATTGTCCCCCCAAAAAATACTCTGGGAATGTGGGCAGGAGAACAGAGAAAGTCCTTTTTCCCCAGGCTGGAGGTGGGAGAGAACAAAAGGCTGGAGGCAAAGGAATCTCTAAATTTAACACATTTCCTCATTGCCAATCTCATTTTTACTGGTTTTGGGGAGTCACATCCTTGGAGGGGGTTAAGGAATGACCAGCTCAGCGCTCTGGGCCATTTTAGGTGGGGATTTTCCACAGCTTGGATTCTTTCCTGAAGATCTTTTCCAGCCTTAAAATTCCAGAGCTCTGTGGGCCCATCCACAGGGATGTGCCAGCCCCTGGAGCCGTGCGGGGTGGCCTCACCCTTCTCCATGAACTCGGTGATGATGTAGATGGGCTCCTTGGTGACCACGGCGTAGAGCCGCACCAGCCGCGGGTGCTGCAGCTTCTTCATCAGGTTGGCCTCGGCCAGGAAGGCGCTGGGGGACATGCTGCCAGCCTTCAGGCTCTTCACTGCCACCTTCGTGTGCCCGTTGTAGAAACCTTGGGGGAAAAACAGGGAAAAACAGGATCCGGACACCGGGCAGGTGACAGCAGCAGTGCCAAGGAGGGCGGCTGGAGGATCCTGCTGCTCGCTCTGGAGCCCCGGGTTCGCCCTGACTCACCCATCCAGACCTCTCCGAACTGCCCCGCTCCCAGCTTCTCCACCAGCTTCAGCGACTCCCGCGGCACCTCCCACTCGTCCTGCCACCACGGCTTCTGCGGCTTCTGCGTCCGGCAGGGCTTGCCCAGGCGGCAGCAGAGCCCGTCAGAGCTGCCTGGGCCAGGGGGAGGCAGAGCTGGGCCAGTGTGGGGCACCCAGCACGAGCCGTGGCTTGGCTGGGACACTGGGAGCATCCCTGTCCCATCCCGTCCTATCCCATCCCATCCCATCCCGTCCCGTCCTGTCCCGTCCCGTCCCATCCCATTCATTCTTTCCTGTTCCCATCCCGTCCTGTTCCACCCCATCCAATTCTCTCCCATTTCCGTTTCATCTTGTCCCATATTGTCCTGCCCCATCGCATCCTGTCCTTATCCCGTCCCATTCAATCATGTCCCATCCCACTCCCATTCCAGCCTGCCACATTCCTATCCCATCCCATCCAGCCTCACCCCATCCGATTCTGCCCCATTCCCATTTCATCTTGTCCTGTGACACCCTGCCCCATCCCATCCCATCCCATCCCATCCCATCCCATCCCATCCCATCCCATCCCATCCCATCCCATCCCATCCCGTGGATCCCATCCCATCCCGTGGATCCCATCCCATGGATCCCATCCCGTGGATCTCATCCCATCCCGTCCCATCCCGCCCCATTCCCGCCCCATTCCTGCCCCATTGCCATCCCATTCCCGCACGTGTGTAGTGCTGCACCAGCTCCCTGAGGCTGCCGAAGGGCGCGCGGGGGGAGATGTAGAAGCCGCCGCTGTCCAGGTTCCGGATCTTGTAGTGCTTCACCGTCTCTCCCTGGCTCTCGTCCAGGTCCCGCACGGACAGCGAGTACGAGCCTGGGGACAGGGACACCCGTGGGACCCCCGGCCCCTGCTGCGCCCCCAGAGCCCGAGGGAGCTGCGGGCGGCACCTTTGGAGGTCTCGCTCTCCCGGATGAGGAAGGAGCCGTGGGTGTTTCCCGAGGCCAGGAGCTGCCGCTCGGCGTCCTTGCGGCTCATGTTCTTGAAGAACCACCTGGGGACACGGGGTGGGGTCAGGCCTGGGGGGACCCGGCCTTTGGGGTTTTGTGGGATGCTCTGGGCTCCTTCCCAGATCTGGGATCCCACCGGGACACGGCTGCTCCCTACTCACGGCTCGGGCTCCAGGCTGTTCACCAAGGCCACGAAGTTGTGGGGGATCAGCCCCTCCTGGCCCGTGGTGAGCGACTGCGCCTTCCACCACTCCCCGTTCCTGCAAGGACACAGCGCAGTGAGACCCCCTCAGACCCTGCCCAGACCCCCGGGGCTGCTGGGACACCACTGGAATTCGCTCACTCTTCCAGGACACGGAGCCTCTCCCCCTTCCTCAGCCCCAGGTCCCCGTCGTGCTTGGGCTCGTAGTCATACAGGGCCACCACCAGCTTATCTGGGGGGACAGGCGGAGGGACAGGGTGGCAGTGACCGGTTTGGGGGTGTCACAGCCACCCCACGCCACAGCTGGGCCTCACCTTGCATGGGGGAGCACGGAGGTGACGAGGGCTCGTAGGACACCAGAGGGTCTCGAACCTCGGAGCCGTTGCGGGTCAGCCTCTGCCAGGGGACAGGAACCCATGAGCCTGTGGGATTTGGCCACCTCTGGGGGTGTTTGGCCACCAGGACTGGGGTCTGTCACCTCCTCCTCACCTGGCGCTTGCTGTCAGGCTCGATGGGGTAATTGCAGTGCTCGCAAATGTCGATGTTCTCAATCCAGTCCTCATCATAGTCTGAGCTGCAGCAGCAGCCCATGGTGGCTGTGGGGGACAGAGGGGACACAGGGAGCCTTGGGCACCCCCATCCCTGCCTCTCCTTCTGCTCCAGCACATCCCGATCCCTCCATCCATCCGTCCATCCATCCATCATCTATCCATCATCCATCCATCATCCATCCATCCATCATCCATCCATCATCCATCCATCCATCATCCATCATCCATCCATCATCCATCCATCCATCCATCCATCATCCATCATCCCACCCACATCCCACCATCCATCCATCATCCATCCATCATCCACCCACCCACC